GGCTAAGGTTAATTTAGAGCTGACTACCGCCTACATTCTTACGAACTCTAAGAAAACCTCTACTCTATCCCGTACAGAGGAAGCTCCACGCAGCTTCTAGGACCGATCTCCAAAAGCCTGTCCTAAATTCGAAAGTCAGCATGTTATGCCACTAGCGAGGATCTAACCAGATTTTGTTTCTTGGTTATAACTGTAACTGCTCATAAGCAATCGTGTACCAAAGAATATGCTATTGTCTGAACTGTCCTAACTCTCTGGGGCACAGGGAATTTAAGCCAGAATTACTCTCCGGGTATAAAAATGTGAAGGCTTTTTATACAATATACTCATATTCCTTTTTTTTTTTTTTCAAATAAAAACGTTCACGAGAGTGTAAAAGATATTGAAATACCAAGAGAGGTGACCTTTTGTGAGCTCATTCATGTTCTCCTGGGAAATAAAGAATAAAGTCATTCACCACCAAGTGTAATATTCCTCACTTCCACTGGCCTGATGAAAGGAGTCAACACAGGTAGTTTCAAATTAAAACACAGTTGGAGTAGCTGGCTGGAAATGGATCTCTGCAAAGAGGGGAAAGGAGGCGACAGGATGCTGTTTATTAAGACTTGCATACGATTAGAGCTCCGTCCATCATCTCCCACCCCCATTACTCTGATTGCCGGGACAAGCCCTGGGCATATTTAATGCAATGCTGGGGGATGGCGGGAATTAGGATTCTCTTGCAAAATGAGCACTGTGCCCGCATATCCCACATATGGGGAAGCACATGACTCCAATAAGCAGAAAGGGCAAAGGTTATATCTAACGATTTCTGTGTGAGTGCTCGGAAGTCCTGTGATGGCTCATTACAGAGGCACCACGGGGCCCAATTCTGTAATGGAAGTGGGGACCAGACGGACCCTTTACAGACGGTAAGGGAGGTCATGTTACTCGCTGGGGACACAGCTGGTTGGTGGCAGGCTCAGATTAGAACCTCGAGTGTCCATCCTCCCTTCCCAGAAAACTCTCACGTCTCTTAAAATAACAGAACATAAGGAACTGGGACACGCCATCAGCTGTGCCCCAGAATTCGTTTCTATAAAATGAAAACAAATATGCTCATCAAAAGTGGTGGGCTGGTCATTCCTCCCCACCAATGGTATTAGTAAGACGGGCAGACAAACCTGATCTCAATTTTCTTAAAACATGTCTATTTGGGCCTTTCCAAATCCTTTAAAGCCATAATATTAAAACTGTCTGCTTTCCTATTCTTTAAAATGCCAAGTATCCGTCTGCAAGAGCCATGACTTTGGAAGTATCTCCCGTTAAGCAACCCCCTTTTATGAACACGCCCTGGAGAACCAGTCTCATGGAAAAACTACTTTCCAAACCGGATCTACAGAACGCCCCCGAACTTGGTGGCATTACACATGGAACACCCAGGGCTAGGGAAGAAGGCAGTGAAGAAAATGGAGTCAGTAGCCTGATTTGTGTGAAGAGGTCACTGGTCACACCATTAACAGACACGGCTCTAAACAGTTTCACCAACAAAAGCTTTGGCCCCTTGAAAATTATCCCATGGAGGTCTGGGATCATGTTTTCATATGTAAAGCACTAGGAATTATACAGCTATTTCCCTCTTTGGGAAGGGAGGTTTACTTTTATCTCTAGTTAATTGCTATAGTCATTTCTAGTTTTAGAAAACGCAAAAGAATGATCCCACCTCCATTTGATCTAACCTCTTTTCTTCTTCAGAGAATGCAATGCACATTGAGTTATTCATTTTGATTTGAACAAAAGGCAAGATTTTCCCCCCTTCTGTCCAGAAACTACCAATGGGAAATTAATATTCAAGATGAACAATGAGCTCATCCCATGGCCCCAGGACTTGCTGGTTGCCAGGAGGAGGCCTGTGAATTCTTAGGATTATTTTAGATTTGGTAGCATGAATTGGGAGCTTACATGGTCATAAAAGCCGTGGTTTTCAAGATTTAAAGTTTCACAATTCTCTATTGAACCATGCTTCTGTAAGAAGCAGGATCTCTTTTTAAGTTTTATATGCGCCTATCCGAACCTCTTGAGTTTCAATGTAGTTTATCCTGAAGCTATATGAAAAAGCCCAGGCTAAATGTCAAGCCTATTGCTATAAATCACATTTCAAACTGGTAATTACTTCTGAGTGGAGAGAGGGCTGTTTGAAATGGTGCTGTCTCATTAGAAAGCTATTATGGAACGCCTGCAATTCTGCCTTAATAAACAGAGTGAAACTTCCAGTATCTACTGCATGACAGGTATGCCAAACAAAAACAACAGCTATTAACACTTCCAAGGATCTCTCTCTCTCTCTTCCTCCTTTCCTAACGCTAAAAATTAATTAATTAATTAATTAATTAATTTCCCCCCATATTTTCTAGGAGTATTTGTTGGGGGGGGGATGGATTTCTAAAAAGAGTCTCAGCTGAAGTTATTTTAAGTTCCTTAAGTAACTGGATAACTTATCTTGTCCTTTGAACTCAGTAACACAAAAGCCCTTCTTAGTGAAAATGAACTGTGATAATACCAGTCATCATCATCCCAAATGACTGGACAAACAGAAAGAAGAAATATGAAAAGACTCATGGGTTTCTCAGCTGCTTCATTTTCTATTCCATTTTATGTGACAAAGGCTCTGTTTGTATCCAGAGTCACTAACTTGATACAAGTGGATTTCCTTTACATTTCTTAAGAGGAAGAACTTCCTGTAAATGATCTCTGCATGTTTCAGTATACCCTCTATTCCTATCAAGGCTCGGATTTGGAAAAGAGCCATATTTGAGAAGGAAATTGATAAGATACCCCCCACACACACACAAAAGATGCACATGACTGATTTCATCCATTCTCCCAGTGTTCATTGTAAGTGTCTGTCTTAATATTACTATCTTACTATTGCCCTCCATTAGCACCAATATCTTGTATTCCATGTTCTAGCTAACATTTCCAATGATGCATAAATGATAGCTTTCCGTCCCTGGGAAAAACCATATTATACCCAACCCTATAACCCCATGAGAATCTAGCAAGGCACTCTGCTCTTAGGGGACACTCCAGAAAATGCTGAATGAATGACAGCTCTTCTTGCCCCATCTCTCGTGTTTCTTTTCTCCGTGGGTACCTAACGTTCAATCGGCATAGAAAACCACCAACCTGAAACAGCTTATCTTTCAATATCACTCTAAGACCAGCTTACCATCTGCAGATCAAGAAATGAAAGAAAAAAAGAGAATCAAATAAAATTAAGAGTTTCTTCCCCGAGCCCTCAAAAAGACCTTGCAGAGAAGTACTTTAGCAAATAATGAAAATGTGCTGGTAATGAACTAAGCCAAAGACAGATAAAAACAGGCTCCATGGGAATATGCCTGAAATTGATAAAGAACTCACAGGTTTGCTGAAGAAATTATGACCACCTGCCCTCCTATAGCCTAACACCTGGGGTCAGTACCGGTTGCTGAAGAGGGATTCAAAAAGAGGGGAGCCATTCAGTGTGGAATGAAGACATTCAAACCCAACCATTTGAAACCTGGGATTATCTAAACACTCCGTGCAGACATGCGTTTATGTACATATGTGTTTTGCGGTTAGATTTCAACTTAGGTGTGTTTCAAAATTTACTATCCCAAGTCTGAAGAATGTAGCAACCACAGCAGTGTTTAACTGAAATTACTAAAGTATCAACTGTCCTTGTCACTTGGCAAATCTGGCTTTTCATGAAAGAGAAAAATCAAGGGAGTCTTATTGCCAAAATAGTACAACATCCTTCTGTTGCCAGATTTTGCAATAATAAAGGTGGTTATTTTATTTAGGTTTTATATTTATGGAAATGTGGTCACAAGACATTTTTAAAGCATGAGATCCTGGCCCCTGTTTAAAAAAAAAAAAACAAAACAAAACAAAAAAACACCTTACTGTTTTAGGGGAAAGATAGCAGAGCTACACTGTGAATACCAACCACAAGCTTAAAGCAATCTTGCCAGTTAGGACAGGGCTCAGAATGATTCCGAATAGTGTGTGGTTTCAAATACAGCCTCAGCTCTTCCATCACATCACCTTCGGCAGAAAATTAATTCTTTCGAAATGAAGAACGAACAGAAATTGATGTCTTCTACATCACTGCGTACAAGTGGTCGGCAATCAGTAAGGAGAAAACAAGGAAGGAGTTCCAGGATTTTCCTCCCTCGGCATTTCCTCCGGTACGCTATCCCTTGGGTTCCCAAGTCACAACCAAAGCATTCCGTCGTACTGCCAAAAGGGAACCGACTCCTTCCGAAACGCTTTTAACAGCACTGCGTTTTACGATGATCAGCCCTTTCCTGAAGCCCTCGTTCCCGTGTACCGTTGTGTTCGCCCTTCCTGCCTGACATGCAAACACAGCCTCCATGCTTTCCACACAGCCTAATTCAAAGCCACACACGTTAGATCCACACCGAATCATGGGAGCGTTCCATCCGCATCCACACCAGGACCCCACGGAATGCATTCAATGAGCGCCAACGGAGTTCTCCGCGTGCACCTCGGACGAGCCAGCGGCGTCCGTGGGGGCTCTTCCCCGACTCAGGCCATCCAGAACCGTGCACGGAACCTGTTCCCTTTTAAGAACCCGGGGCTGCTGAAATACCCACTAGGATAACTGGCCACAAGGCAGGAGCCGGCAGCTCGGTCCTGCAGGCGGCCACAAAAGCTCCCGGAGGCTGCCGCGCGAGAAGCTTGCAGTTATTTATCTCCTGCAGCCAAAACGCCCGGCACGGCCCCCTCCCTCATTTTACCTAACTAATAGCTCTCCAACCCCATATTGAGAGGGCCTGCTGTGGATCTTGCCGAGGTACAAAATGGTGGATGGGAGCTAATTTTTCCCTGCTTTCCCCATAACTTAGCGCATCCATCACCGGCCGTCCTCCCACCTAAGCACCCAGGCAGCGGCGGCGCACCGAGCGCGCCCCGCGGACCCGGCCCGGGGAGGGGGGCACAGAAACGCGGGTACCCACCTGATGTCATGTAGCCCCGCGAAGCCTGGGGCGCGAAGGCCGCGGGGAAGCGCTTGTGCAGGCGGTAGTCCTTCTCGCTGCGGGACCTCATGCGGTCCGAGGCCCGGTCCGAGAAATCCGAGCTAGGCCAGGCTCGCCGCAAGGTTGTGCTCCGGGTCTTCTTCATGGTGGGGAGCGCGCGACCTGCCGCCCCGATCCCGGGGGCCTCAGCGCCGGGGCGCAGCGCGCTGCTTCATCCGTCTACGGCGGGCACGACCCGGGCGGACTCTGCGCACATTTTCCCAGCCCCTCCTCGCCGGCGTCTACACCGCCAGCGGCGGGTCCGGCCCTCCCCACGCCCCCACACACCCCCACGGCGAAGGCTCCGATTTTACACACGTCCCACAATGCATTACACTTCATTTGCAATCCGCCCGGCTTATAGCTTCCAGATTCCTGGGGGGAAAGGCACGTTAGGAGGCTCCCCGGCCAGGAGGAGGCGGGGAGGGGGCGGGCGGGGTGGGGGCGCCGAGACTTGCAGCGTGAAAGCAATGGGAGCGCAGACAATGGCCCGATTCAGCGCAGGAGTGCTTAGCCAACTGTGAGCCACCGCACAAAAGACCCAAACAAATGAGGAACCCGAGGCCTCCGGGGCTGACCCGGGATCGGGCGCCCGGGAAGCCGGAGGGGCGGCGGCAGGCCCTCGGCACCCGGCGGCTCAGAGCGAGGCGTGGGGCTGACAGGGTCCAGGTCGTGTCCCCCAGGGCCTTTCGGCCGCGCGGCCCGCAGTCCCGGGCGCAGGCTGGCTCTGCCTCCCCTGCAGTCCTCGGGAGGCAGTCTTCATTACAGAGGCTCGGAAGGGGGGCGCGTGTGCACCGGGAGCCGAGCCGGCTCTGCAGACAGCAGCTGCGGCAGGCGGGCTCCTGCGGAATCCAGGAAGAGCCCGAGTCGTCCTCGCAACTGCAGCGCCTCGTCAATCTTCCTCCTTGCGAGGCTCAGGGTGGTGTGCGTGCGTGTGTGCGCGCGCGCTCGCGCGCCGACACGCGTGTGCCCCCCTACACATGCATGCTCCTACTTACTGGCCGAGGGGGCGTCGGGAGCCATGGCTGCCAACGAGGCCGTGCCTGCCGATCCACACCCGCACGGTGGCACCGCCGCTCGGTCGCGAGCGCGCAGAACGGCTCTTGAAGGGCAGGAAGCAGGGCAGCCGCCCAGTCTCATGCTAATCACCGAGCTGCCTTAAGTTAGAGCACCGATCGCGGCAGGCTTCTCTTTTTCATGTAAAACAGTCTGCGGCGGCGCGGGGGCCGTGGGCCGGTACCCCGGCCTGGAGTCAGCGCTTGGATATTTACATATTTCTAGGATGCTCCCTCCCCCTCGCGGAGAGAGCGAGAACCCCCTCGGTGGGAACCGGGAGGTCTGCGGTGCCCTGCCTGGCCCACCTGCGCCAACCCCGAGGCCGGCAAGAGCCGGAGGAGGGGGCGCCACTGGGGGCCCCTGCGGCAGCCGCAAACGCCGGGGCACCTGGTCCACGCCGCCTGGGAGACGCAGAGGTGGCGGCCTCCGGCTCTTCCTCTCTCGCCCTCGATCCCCCGTGTGAGTCACCAGCCGCCCGCTAACCTGCATTCAGGTTCTTTACACCGCCCGGCTCTGCACAGCTGCTTCGGGTCCAGCAACCAATCGCTGAAGGACAACAATGCGCGCGACGCGGGAGGGGAGGGGGGGGGGATGCGCCGCCCCAGCCGAGGCGCGGGGCCCGGGACGCCGAGGTCACTCCGAGTTAAAGGCGCGCGGTCACAATGCTGCGAACCCCGACGACGCTGGGCCGCTGCTGTTTTTTTTTGTTTGTTTGTTTTGTTTTGTTTTTTTGTTTTTTTTTTCAAAAACGCTCATACCCCCATTTGGGTTTCCAAAAATGCCCGGGCGTGATAAGCAGCACAAATAAACATGATTTTTCTTTTCCAGCATTGTTTTATTTTATCTTTTTTGCGCTTTTAAAAAAAATCACTAACGATGCAACGTTCAAAATCATTTTTTTTTTAAATGCTGTAGTTTCGTAGCCACAGCTGCCAAGGTGCAGAGACAAGGATATGAAATCTTTATGGGGCTCTGATCTTATCAGGCTGATACAGCAAAACAAAAACAAAAACAAAAAAACAAAGCAAAACCCAGAAAAACAGCAGGCTCTAAGGATCTAAATGGTTAAAACTCAAGAGTTCTAACGCGATTCGATGCTATTCCGAGGTTTGAATGGGAGGGGCGCTGCAAGGTTCTTGAAGAACTATGCGGAGGGGGCGGGGCTTAAGCCACAAGCATTAGATAATCTAGAACTAGAGCTTCCATTCAGTGTCTTAAGGCTGCGCTCTGTCACCTGGAGCCAGCGGAACTAATCCATCTCTTGGGATGCTGGGAGGTAAACAAACAAGCTAACAAATAAAATCACTAAGTATCATACGGAACTTATATTTACACTTAACAAAATTGAGTACTATCTGTAAGACTATTAGCTAACGGTCAGTGGCACTTTTAAAAAGTTAGGAAAGGCTAGTCCCCCAAAAAGGCACATTTTGCTAAAATGTCTTCTTTACTGTAAGAACAGAAAGGCTACTGCATTAGAAGCTATAGAAGACTAAATGAGTCCAGAAACATAGAGGTAATATAAAATAATTGTATTAATGACTGCTCGAGATACTGACATTTAGATAGCTCAATCCAATTCAACATATGATTACTCAGTACTTCCCATGAGCCAAAAGTGGTGATATGAATGATTGTTACAGTTATGACTGAAGGCTAATGGTGATTGCTGTGGCACTGTGGTATTTACTCATTCAGCAAAGAATTACTGACTATCTAGAATATGCCAGCACTGTGCTGCATGCTGGACAAACAGAACACCACACACAGCCCCACACAACTTATGGTCTCGGTAGTAAGCATAGAAATGCACAAAGTGTGACACTTTCTACGAAGAAGAAAAACTTCCATTAAAAAAAATGACAGTTCATCTGAGACTGGGATGAGGAGTCATCCAAGCAAAGAGTAGGGAAAACGGCATTTCAGAAAGTGGGAACAGTAGCACATGCAAAGGACCTGAGGTAGGAAAGAAGTGTAGCTTCTGTTGGAAGAAGTTAAAGAAGGCCAGTGTGGCTGGAACTGGAGCATAAGAGAAAGGCGTGTGATGAGGTCATGGAGGAAGGCGAGAGCCAAATCATGTAAGGACTTGCATTAAGTGCTTTGTATTCTATCCCAAGTGCAGTGTGAACTGCTGAAGGGTTTTAAGCAAAGAAGCAAGGGATAGTTTTAGAATTTCTATATAGAAGGGGCTCAGCAGAGGGAATCTGTTTGAAGGAAAGGGTCAGCCAGGAATTTGCTGGAGAGCAAGCTTGAATTGTCCTTGATCTAAAACTGAGAAAATATTCACTGTGTGTATGAAAAAACTGGGGTGAGTCGATGGAGCTTTGGGGAGGAGAGCTACACTCAACCACCTCTGAATGCTGGCCTTGCAGGGAGTGGCATTGTCTAGCGCCCATAAACAGAGTACCCTTGAAGGCAAGGTCAAAGACCCAGACACAGAAGAATCAGAACAGGGCTGGATCAGCTGAAAGGGGTCAGATGGTCAAGTAGGCGAGGTAGGGACAGTTACGTAATTTATCCATCCAAATCAGACGACAACGTCAAAAAAGGTTATGAAGTTAAGGCTTGAATCTAGCAAACAGCATATTATGAAACCGATCTTGTCTGGAAAAAAGTGGACGTGGAATCCCCTGTTACCGTAGTCACTGCTAAAATCAGGCTCAGCGTGTCCACTGTCCTATGGAAACATTCACTCTGGTCGTATGCGATCTGTAGGTCCTGCATCCCACCAGTTTCAAGTCTCTTAACCTACATGAGATGATCATGTATCTGGGTTATGAACTGGGTTAGGAACCTCACAGAAGCTCAGTTACATAATCCAGTATTCAGTACTCAAAAGTTTAGAAATAAATGGAGAAATGATAAAGCAAACCAGGTTTACAGTATTAGTGCTTTTTAAAATCAGGCTTAAGAATCATTTGTACACTTGGTATTTACATATCAGATTAGAGACTATCAGATTATAGACATTTATTAGGTACACATTTGCTTTGCGATTCTAATTCAAATGTACACTTGATTTTAGACTTGTAAACTTTAAGTTGAAAGGTATTAAGAATTCTGACTTTGAAATTCTCATTTAAAACTTCAGCTTATTAGGTTTATAAGAGTTTAGTGAACTTAAGAGTTATAAGAATATAAACTCCATGAAGGCAAATAATTTTTCTGTTTTATTCATTGTTGCTCATTGTTCTGTTTTGTTCATAGCTGCATCTCCAGTGGCTAGAACCGCTTGGCATGTATTAGATGACTAATGAAGCCAGAGTTAGTCGTCTGGAAGATTTTGTTTGAAATCTTCCCAGTCATACATACTAACAGCTTTTTAAAAATTCCATATACCAAATTTATTAATGCAACTTAAGTTTTTTTTTTAAGATTTTATTTATTTATTTGACAGACAGAGATCACAAGTAGGCAGAGAGGCAGGCAGAGAGAGAGGAGGAAACAGGCTGCTTGCGGAGCAGAGAGCCCCATGCGGAGCTTGATCCCAGGACCCCGGGATCATGACCTGAGCCGAAGGCAGAGGCTTTAACGCACTGAGCCACCCAGGTGCCCTGCAACTTAAGTTTTTAAGGGAATGTGCTTAACTATGTTTCTAAATGGAACTAATCCTTGAGTAGAGGGACTTTAGTCTAAATTTGAATTAATCAAATGTTTTTCAAAGTTCCCCCAAGAGTTACAGTTTTTATTTTATTTTATTCTTTTAATTTACAAACACAGCTAACTGAATCTAAAAACTTCAGTACATTTTTATTTTTTCAATGTGTATCTCTAGTAAAAGAAAATCCAATTTTTGAATTTGCACCTCTAGCACACTGAACATTAATTAAAGACCTAAATATCTGTAAACAATCTTTACTGTGCACAGAAAGCCCCCCTCAGACAGTAGAAAGCCCATACTGACTACAGACTGAACATGGGATAGATCGGGGAGAAACCGAATCACTGGAGTAAAGGCTGATATGAGTGAGAAATAAACATTAATATAAACATAAGTGGTAACAGGTCTAAGCCTTGACCCTATAGCCTAGAAGAGACAAATTTCAGACCGGCACTTC